CCGCTCACTCTATTCGGATAAGAAATATATTTATATTTATTACTTACGGACTGGCGGACTTTGGGGTCCTTCAGCCACAGGACACCGCCGCTTCCCCTCGCCAAGTACTGAATTGTAAAAACACGACCGCGCGGTATGCCGTCTGCGCGGTTGTCTGCAGACCGTACGTAGGCAAAGGATGCCTGTATTCCGCGTGAGTCAAAAAAACTCATATGTCCGTCGCAGCTCCCACGCCATGGCATGTGATTTTGAGCTGCCTTTATTCGCCGCTCCTTGCAGCGAAGTGTTGTCTACCCAAACGTCCACGGTGCGTGGCAAGATGGCGATAAAAGCCGACACGGCAAAGCGTACCGCGCGCGCCTCGGCCTGCATGATGAGAAAACGCTTCCTCTTCCATTTTCCTCCGGCAATTTTAACGTCGCCGGAGCTGGAATGAAAACGGCTCCTCATCCATGGAGCGACGGATCCGTGATGATGGCGGCCGATGCCTTCTCCGTGGGATTGATGTTTCGCCGACGATTATTCTCGCTGATGTGTCGCAATCCCTCGCCCAAGCCAACCGCTGCCGGCGGAAGGTTCGCCGGGGATGTCTCCTGCACCATCCCCCGGTCAAGTGCGGATAATCGTCGTCGCGCTGCCTTGATGAAAAAGTGGCAGTCACATAAACGCGTGCCCAAAATGGCCGCCACGTACAAAAAGCGTGACGCCATACCTCCATTTCCGCGATGGTTAAAGATTTGAGCGCCGGCATGGCGCGCACAGACCGGACAAACTTGTCGCTCAGGGCCACCGCCCGGTGAGTATGATCAAACCGCGCCCCCGAGGAAGGTGTACTGCGTGGCGCCCGATTCGCTGTCCTTCCCCATCGTGGCGTGACGGCCATCCGCATTGCGAAGCACTTGGGCCTCCCACGATGTCACATCGCTTTTCGACACTGCGGTGCGCATATTATCGATCCAAACGTCGATACGCACCAACGAAGATGCGCCCCAGAGGCGGTGAACCACCGTCGTCACCTCGGCAACTGCTAATAATAACCTGGAGAACTTCTGGGCCGGCCTTGTATCCTATTGGGGGCCGCGTGGGCTCCACCAGCGCGCCGTCCTCCACGCAGAATCGAAAGGGATGCCGAGTCTCCCGCGGTAAAAAGGCTTGAAAAAAGACGCCTTTAATTCCAGGCAGGAAGCGGCCTCAGCCATCACAGGCGGCAAATAATGGGAAATGCGCAAAAAAGGAACATGAGCCTCGGAAGGGTCGTGTCTGTTCTTGTCGCGCGGCCCCGCGATCCATCGTCGTCGAAAACCGGTGGCCTTCTCCTCCGCAAACAAACGAAAAGGGTATTATCCATCCACCCGTTATCGCAGAATAGGCGTCCTCAATTGTTCCCACTTAATTCAATAATCGCACGTCGTCGACTGGAATCCTCCGTGGGCTTTCGTCTGATGTGGCGGAGGGCTGGGGAAAAGGGGACCGCCCGACGCGTCCTTGCCGCGAGTCTTGTGATTGCGGCGGGGTGATGATAAAAACCACGGAAAAAACGCTCCTCTGCTGTCAGCCAGGATTCCTGCCCTTCCGCAGTTTTCCCCTCACACCAACGCGGCCAGCAACGACGCCTGAGCCGGCGTTGTGGCGCGCTTCCCCGAATATCGCGCTGTGTTCTTTGAAGAAGAACGGCTCGCCGTCATCCGCGCAAGTCGGAAGGCAACCCGTCACTTCCATTCGGCCCGGCTGCGGGTAAATTGATCCGCCTCTTCCTTTTTAAAGGGCGCGTCCGCTTCGTCTCCGATCGCGCCGCGATTTTTTTGCAACCTCAGAACCGCCACGCCCAGCGGAGTTCGATTAATTTGCGACATGGACCGCGGCATCCTGGCGTCCTGCGGTCGGGTCGGTGGCGCCACGTCGTCGGTTGCCATCGAAAAGGCCGCGCGGCTCGCCTCTTTGTTCGGCTGTTCGCGTGTGCGGCGGAGGGTTGTGAGGCGCCCGCCTGCGACCTTCTCCGCTCCCACGCCGACGTCGCAAACAATTCCCGAGCCACCTTGTTCGCCCTCCTCGTGTCGCCGGCCCGAAGCGGGGTGCCGGAGCACCGTCGCGCCACAGTCGGGCTCCGTTGGCGAACAAGCCCCGTCGCCCTTCTCGGCGATTGCGTCGGGCAATTTGAAACATCGGGTGGAGGTTCGGCGCGGCGCCTGTGCGGGACGGCGGGTGGTGGCGGCATGGGTGGGGCCGCCGCCGTTGTTGACGGCCGTCCGCGTCGCGATTGATTCCTTCTGGCCGCGCCTCGGGCTTTGCGTGCGGACGCCTCGCGCCCACAAATGCGACGCCGCTGACGTCGCAAGGTCGTTGTGCCCCCCCCCGTTCCGCGAGAGGCCGGGCTGCCCTCGCAAAGGCGTCGGCTTCATGAACGGCGGTGTGAAGTCGGGCGCGCTGTTTGGAGAGCGGGGTGTTGGGGTCCGACGCCGTCATGAGCTGCGTCCGGAGTGCCTGCAGTAAGGTCCGGCCAAAATCCAAGAAACGATCGGCGGGATGGCGCTCCGCTTCCAGCGCGCGCGCACGTCCACAAAGCCAAGCTGCCAAAGGGAGGTTCAGCCTGGCCGCCCGCCTGATGCCAATGATTTTGTGCGCCCCGGAGGTCGACAACGACTCCGGAAACGCCCTCATTCCACACACGCGCGGCCCGAGAGGTGGCGTCGAACGCGCGAAAACTTCGTTCCGCTTCTTCTGTGTCAGAATGGGCGTCCGAGGGGAGGGTGTGAGAGGGCAAAGGCAATGGAGGGATAGAAACGCAGCCTCCCAAAATTGCCCTGGGACGAATGGGGAATAACCCACCGTCTCTCGTCCGCCGGGCTTCGTCGGGCCGTGCGTGGCGGCGCGCCCCCAACCACCAAACGACGCGTTGGACGCTGCGGTTGTT